GTCATTCCTGGTTTTATATATTGGAGCATTCTCACTATATTATGTTATACATTCTGTGTTTCTAATTGTTTTAGTGCTATTGGAGGCTTTCAAGACAAGGGGTTCAAGCATTTGTTTGGCACTACTCAAGAGTGAAAGTTGAATGGGAAGGGGAGGGGATGGATTGCTTAGGATATTGATCTATCTCTGATGAGGTAAATCAACCATTTATTTCCAACAAAACTTGGGATACATTGATCAATCTTTGATTCCAGTTACACCAAATCATTTACTTCTAACAGAACTGGTCCATCTCTTATATCCGATTTGCTTCTGACCTTTGCTCGATCGCTAGTTCAGATAATGCTATGGCTAAAATGATAGTGATGCAAGTGGGCTGACAGTAGAGTAGTGGAGGATGAAGATATGGCTTAAAATGAGGTGCACATACATATGGCGTAGCAAACTTGACAGGAAGGCTCTGGTTTGGCAAGATGATTATGATATTTATTACTTGTTTATAGTTTTTATATTGTGTAATTAATAATTAAATGAGCGTAATTAAGAGCTCCTTTCCCAAATCATAGAGTTGCTGGAACCCCCCTGACTCGGATGGGCATTTTAGTCCAAGCAAAAAACAACGACTCTTTTTTGCCAAACGGCGTCAATATAACCCTAGAACAGTTTGAAGCGAACCATTCTCAATCCCCTTCCGTTCTCTGCTCTCTCTCGCTCTCGCTCGCTACATTGAATCTGTTCTCAATCAATCTCCCAAACGCTCTCGATCTTCGATCTTGATACTTTGAATCTCTGTCGTTCTTTATTCTACATTCAATTTTGATTAATTTTATTGATCTCTTAACGGTCTAATATTGTTTTTGTAGGCCCTTTTCTTTCCGAATATATATTTCTGTTTGCAGCTGTTGTTTTTCGCTTATTTTTTTTGTTTGTGTGTTATTAACGTGATGGATGCAGGATTAAGAAACTCTATGGCATTGAACATGACTGGATCCAGTCGTTTTCCTCTTCAGGAGCAGTATCGTCAGAGAAAAAGCTCCCATGAAAATGTATGTCATCTCTACCCTGCGTGAATTGATGTAAATTTCATCTAGACATTTGATGCAAACTGGTCTATATCCCATGAAAAAGGTCTATGTTCTTCCATCTGGGCAGTTGATCTAAATTTCATTGTCACTTTGGTTTTATGTATCTAATTCTGAAATTCATTAAGTAACCTTATTCCAATTTTATTTGGGTTGTTGGATGATAAGTTCATCGAGGATATGGTTACCATTTGAAACCTACAATTTGAGTTACTGAATTCTTTTGGGTTATAATTGACTTACTGAATTCTTTTGGGTTGCTTTTATGTAGTGGGACAGGTTCATTCCTAATAGATCTGCAATGGATTTTGACTATGCACATTTTATGGTGACCGAAGGATGTAAAGCTAAAGAGATTCCGGCCAGTTCACCTTCAAGAGAAGCATACCGAA